ACTGCTAGATGTGGCAGGCCTTCGTCGTATCTTTAATCAGGGAGAAGCCACGCAACTTGATTAAAAAACAAGGAAATCACTTATTGTTGACCCTTTTCCAAGAAATGTCCATCACAAATACAATATGGGTCATTGATTAGCGAGGGCTACGGCTTTCATACAGAAGCTCTCCAGGACGGAAACACATTTGTTGATGCAGCGCGCGGCGCCAACGGCAACAATTTGTCCGCAGAAGTTGTCAATGACAGGGGAGAACTCCTCTCGGCCGCTTCGGTGAAGACCTCCTTGGTTGATGTAGCAGAAAAGACGGCTGTAACGCTGGCATTCCTGGGCGCAAAATACAGAACGGTATACACCGACTCCCGAGCGGTCGTTAAAGCGTTTGCATCGGGATTGGTAGCCACAGAGGCAGCCAGGATTCCTCGCGGCAGACCTCCCTCCGACGTCCTTCATCACATAGTCTGGTTTCCAGCTTACATGGGACCTGACGTAGTGACGGGTCACCTGAGCCTAAATGGGATGGCCCACGACCATGCATGAGGTTTCACATGCCACGGCAGGTTGGTCTGTCGCGTGAGTTAGAGAGTGCTCCTCCACAGTAATCCTCTCGTTACATTTCACAGTATGACATTTCATTACAGAGTAGAGCGACAGGACAGACGTTTGCCTTTACTCATTAAAAACTCCAAAGATCATAAGCAAGAACGCTCTGCATGCTCCAGACGGGGTCTTACCCCTCCACGGGCTTTCTGAGCATGCTTCATCCGGACGTTAATTCACTTTGCCCAGATTGTGGTGAATATTGTTCTCTGAATCACATGCTCTGGCTGTGCTCTGCGTTACAGGACTTTAACCGGGAATCAGACTGAACAGCGGTAATCACAGGCCCCAGAAAAGACGTCCAGCTTCAGACTGTCCAGAGGGCCCGTGAACGCGTTGAGAGGCATGACCTCTCTGTTCGGACGTGGGAATTGCCAATGGCTGGGTGGGGTCTTACCTAATTTGACCAATGCCTCACCTCTCAGGACCAAAATAAAGTTGTCGATCTGTCGGTTTGTCCGCCGGAACGATACCCGAACCGGCCATAATCCGACCACATCCGCAGCGCCCACCAATATTGGTCTGGTTTCCGCGTTCGCACTTGTACGATTGTCGAATGAAAACTATTGCGCATATCTGAGGCATCTTATGAACACGCCAACACTATGTGGGGTGTGTCTTCATACTGGAGATGGCATATAGGTAACACTAATGACCGTAGCTTTTATCACGCTGCTCTGATAATGCAACGTTGTGCACGAAAAGGCGTTTCCTATGCTTTGTTAAGACGACACAGTGGTGCCGCCTACATGTTGCCTTGAATTTTACAAATTGTGGCCTCCGAGACGGGTGAGCACGCCGCGCGCTTGCTGTGCGCCGCCGCCTGTCTTCGCTCACGCCGCCGCCGCGGAAGATCCGAGAGAGACCCCGCCGCCGCTGCACAATGATTGCGGTGTGCCGCCGTTTGTCTTATTTTAACACAAGCGGGAAACCTGGCCATAAGATATGTCACTACAGTTCTTTTTCTGCAGCTTTAAGATTTTTCAGAGTAGCGTTTGCAGTGTCTTGACTGCTCTCGTGTGTCCGTGTTTCCATGCCATCAGTATCCTGGTCTTAAAAACGTATCCTGAAGAGATACAATCCACTGCGTTTTTCTTTCTTAGCCTCTCTCATTCTTTTGTAGCTCTTCGAGACGACAGAACAGTAATGACAAGATTGGGCTACATACTCGCGAATGATCGATACACGAGAAGTAGCAAATGCAAAATGTTTTCTACCCTGCTTTGGCAAGCAATCGCAGGGCAGAAAACAATTTTCCTCGTTCTTCCCCGTGTCTCGCATTATGCGCAATGAAATACTGATTTCACAACATTTTTAAAACTTCCGATTGCGCAACTGAAAATACTAGAGTGTAGGCCACGCGTTCGAAGTCCTGCTAACCTCAACGCTAAGCGCTCACATATGGCACACGCGCTTTATGACGACATAAATTTCGAACACGTATAGCCTGTAAGAATCGCTGTGAATGGAGCTTTCTCCCAATGAACGAATTATTTACATCGAAGACGACGCAGCCCTCCATTAAAAAGGCGCATAGCCCGCTTTGACGGTTTTTGTATTTTTTTGATCGTGAGGAAATATTATGTAGAGACTATATACTGACTTTCATCGTCGCAGTCATGTTTCGCATCAAGTCGGAATCAATACCTTTTGTACGCACGCTCTATGCTGTTCCTGTGGATGAAATTTTGCGAGCGCCAGCTAGAAACACTGCTCAAGCCTAAAGATAAAACAAGCTGCTCATCTGAGATAACATTACTCCACGCGGCCCTGTCGTCGATTGCTCCTCAACCGGAAAGGAAGCCCTGCCAGTGTTTTTCTTCACGAAGGAGTATGAAGATATGCTCATGTAGGAGGCGGCTTGGCTCGACTCGCGACTGTGAACTCCAACAGCGTAAACGCTAGCGCGCCCTAATTCCGTGGGCATGAGCGGGATCGAATCCCAGCTGCAACGGCTGTAATTTCGGTGGAGTCTAAATCACTTTAGGCCCATGTGCTCAGATTTGGGTGCACGTTAAGGAACCCCACGTGGTCAAAATTTCTGGAGCCCTTCACTATCGCGTCTTTCATAATCATACGGTGGTTTTGGGACGTCAAACTCCACAGATCAATCATCAGCACTTGCAATCGCGTGATCCTCTTGCATCAATAAATTTCACACTGAATCGAGTGCCCTACCCCACAGTTACTTCGTTGCGTCTTCTGCATACCCTACTCAGTGATTTAATTCTCTAAATATTGTGCCCATTAGATCAATTCGGAATGATTTGCTTTTTTGTGTTTGCTTTTCTGCAGAAAGTGCATATTGGAATGAGCTTGTCTGCGCAGACTCACTAATGAGCCATTGGAAAAGAGAATTGCGCAAACAAGTATTGTGCTAAAATTCATTTTTTTAAATGCGAAGCATTTCTTAGCCAACTTCGGCGACTTTGAATTTATCTATCTATCTATCTATCTATCTATCTATCTATCTATCTATCTATCTATCTATCTATCTATCTATCCATCTATCTGTCTATCCAGCCGCTTACGTTTGGGTGCTCTCGTGGTCACACCCTTAACTTGGCATGAACGAAAATTAGCATGGGAGGGTAAGATGGCATGGCGAATAAGACACGCTGTTCAAGACATGAATAATGTCACAATCCTGTCGCGTACGTCGTCAAACACTTCCCGGTAGACAGCGGCACATACCCACGGGCCAGTATGTGCCACTGATATGCGTGTATGTCCCACAGGTGATTGACACCTACTATCTACCGAGGAACGACGAGAACACGCAAGGACAATTTTAACGCGCGAGCGTGAACAAATACCTGACGTCGGTAGCGTCATCCCGACGAATGTAAAAAATAAATGTCAGAGACCCAGCTGAAATCCAACGCAAGAAGTCTGCGTGGCAGTGAAGCATCTTTCCACAGAGCTACGCCATGTCTCGGAACATTTTTTTCAAATAGACGCTAATCTTCGTGAAACGTCAATAGTGGTTGCAGTGCTGCCTATAACATTTTATAAACGCTACATATGTACATATTTGATACAGTCGTCACGGGGGGTTAACGTCAGTTGTGGTTAGGTGCCATGCGCTGAAGTAGATTCATGTAGCAGGTCAAGGGCCAGAATCCTCGCGAGCATCAGCGCTTCATATCAGCTACTGGTGTTGCTAATACGCATGTTCCTGTTGGCATCGTTGCGCAAGTGCAAAACACTGGTTATATAAACGTCTGCAACTTTTCAACATATGTCTGTGCGTGCAACATTTGTACATATATTTAGCGTCATTTGATGACGTCGCGCTCAATAAAAAAATTGCGACATGCTCATCTCCGTCCGCATGCTTCGTATAAGGTCGATTTCCAGGTACATGAAATTCACCGAATTCTTTTCAAGGTCCTGAACACTTCAAGGTATTCACACTTTCTGCGCCTCGAAAACTGAGACAGCAATGTGTGTAAATAAATAAGGTTAAGACATGTTGCTATCACACCAACGGCTTCACCCTTTCAGGAAGACAGGCTTTGTTAAAGACGATAGTCTTTCTTGGGCACCTCCGACGCAAAAATTTTGGTCTGTCTCTCTGTACATTTGTCTGTTTGTCCACCCTTAACTGTACCTTAAACGGCACCAAAGTGTTTCTTTTTTCAAAATTCATCACTGAATACCAGATTTGGTAATAAGGCATGTGAACGGACGAGGAACACAAATACCAGGCGCAAAACGTGGTAATAATAACAAGGAAATCATGTAACGTATAATTTACAAGCACACCACTGTTGGTATCGCAAACGTAAGTGGTGCCATCGTTACGCGACTATAAGCAACATACTTGCGTTTTATCTCAGTCACGTCAGTGCGTATAACTTTTCACTTGTGCTTACTGTGTACTACATCCGTCCTCCTCGTAACTTTGTCCTGATGTGACATATCAACCTTCCTCATTCGTGCTTCGAATATCATCGATTCCTACTGCACGTGGGATCTACCAATTTTCGTTCCAACACTCAGCGGCGTCAGATGCAAATCGCTCGATGAACGTGACCGTTTCAGCAACTCACCATCGACCTGTTTTCACGTAGCAATGATAATATTATCTGGGGTATCGCAAAACCACTACACGATTATTAAAGACGCCTTAGAGGAGGGCTCCGGAACACCTTGTGCCCTGACATCGCACAGTGCATGTTCCACCTCCATCGAAATGGCAACGCCAGGACCGAACCCGCGACCTTAGCAGCCGCTGTTCTACCGAGGCGGACCACGTAGCGAACGAAGAGCGGCACCCAAGACCCCCTGCCGATTTCGGCGACAGGTCACCACTCAAGCATTTCGGGGCGAAAAAGAGAGGTGCAGGGCTGAAGAAGGTGACTATGGAAGCTGACTCGCAGAAAGTGAGAGCCAATCTTTATGTCGTCAGCTTATACTTACCAACGGAGAAAGATTAGCAATGTTTAACGGTGACATTCTTTGGCGCTAAAGTGTGTCAACCACTTCTTGCACCCGACTTGGATGTGGCCACCTGGAAGATAACAATGCTGCGGTTGTTTGGACGATGCATCTTCCAGGCGATGGGAGGTCGAGCTAACGAGCTGCATACGCCAACGCCACCATCCATATGGTGGGCCGGAACGCCATGGCACGGAAGGCACCTGCATCGGAGAGCAATCACCACTTTCCGTGCTTGATAATACACATTTGCACCAGCGTCACATCATTACGTGGGCTGTTTATGCCACCCTGCTTTAGTAGCTGCAACTACGATCAGCGTCTGCGCAGTAGCCGTGCGGTACTCGCTCAATCGTGACTTGGGAGACGAGGAATAACGCTGATCAACAGACGGTAAAACAAATGCTAGTTTTGGGCAAAAGAAGATCGTGTCGGTGAGTCACACAGTCCAAGCTGTGACTGCGCCCTCTCAGGGGAGGCTGTGATCACTTAATGAACATCCTAAAAGCAACAAGTGCAACATTAGCAGGTGAGTCACAACGCTTCGAGAGCGCAAATCATCATCCCCGTCATCATGGGGCCTGTTCAGATGAACCACAACGCTGAGCCATCGAAGATAGCGGTGTGCTTTTGTCCCTCCGCTGACTTCCCTCACACAGTTAAGATAGCAGAGGCGGGCAGTATGGAAGATAAATGTATCTTAGATACTCTTTTGGTGTTTTTTATCTCTATCACGATACGTCTCGCAAAATGAGTATCCGTATTCCCGATAATTTCAATAATGTGTCGTCGATCCTAATATTGTGGGAATTACGTGCACCAGCTGTTAAGAGATGGCGGCACGTGCTGCGCAGTAGCGGAGCACGCGACCCACTTGCGCTCTTAGAAGGGGCCGGGGGGAGAGGTGTCTTGACTGCCACGAAGGACGGAGGCTGTCACCCGCACTGGCCGATTGCTGCTGCCCGAAATCGTTGTCGATGCGTATAGCTGTCTCGTCCGTGAGCCGATCGTGTCTAAGCGAATAACTATTTTTTTTTTTAGGTAAAGCCTCAGTCGTCCTCGTTTTACCTATGGATGGGGTGCAGGAACTCCGATACCCATAAGATTGAGCTGTGGGAACGCCTCCTCTATTTTAAAAATGCGCCCGAGCCAGCCATTCACCCTCCTCTGGCCCTTTTCTGCTCTATTCCATCGCATTGCCTTCACGTGTGCTTTGCGGTCATGGGGTAGATTCCCTCTTACGCAGTGCTTCTCGACGGCAATCATGTGAAGTATTTGTTTGTTCACTTGGATCCGTCACGCTGCCTCTGTAAAAGATACGTTGTCTTGAGATAGCGTGTCGCCGTTCTCGACGCTATGCGGGCAAACAATGCGAAGCGTAACTGTAACGCTGGTGCATACACTGCGCTGTGATGCGGCGCCGACAGACGTATTATGTTGGAGTGGGAAACACGACTATCGCATCTCCGGGGGAAAGTGCTTGTACGAAGGTAAGACGCAAGCAGCGCTAAGTTGCGTCGCATCAAGACCACCCTTTCAACTGAGACGGACTGACCGCTCCCGTTGAGAAGCGCGCGTTTGCACGGCACACCACCGAACAAAATAAGAAACGCCCACCTGTATACCGGCCCGACGCCAAACGACAGCCCACGTCTCGTTTTATCTTTCCTTTCTCTCTCTTTGTGATGGCACCGCTCGTAGCCACGCTACTCTTCTGCGCACCCTAATGCGTGCGGCGTCTTTCATTGAAATTCTGGTGCCTTATCAAAGTATGTCTTGCGCAATTCCAGGGTTGCCTTCGGGTATATCCAAAAAGGAGCCAAAATGCAAAGTTGCCGATCTATTTCATCCTATCGCGAAACAGTCTTTTTTTCATTATTGAACATATAGTAACATAATTTAAAATAAACAAGAAAAAAACTTTGCGGACGCGTGAACTTGGCCTGCAATAGTAGAACGCGACGGCGTAATCGGGACGCAATCGCAAGCCCCAGTGCATGCCGTGCCGTGAGTAAACAAACGGGTAACATTGGCTCTTTCAAGCTCTACCAGAATGCCTACTGCCTACTTTATTGAGTTTCGACTTTATTGTTTAGTACTATGCCCACTATGCCATAATTTTTTTCCTTTCACGAATCAGTGAAGGAACCACGTAAGCCAGCTTTTCCCCTTTATTGTTGATGCTTTTGAAGCTTGTTACGGTTGAATTAATGAATAGGTGGATTTATTTACAGGGTGAGGATGAAGTTCGGCAGTCGCGGTAAAGATGGAGTCCTCAGGCCACACCAGACAACGTCGTCTTTTTCTTCTAGCCACCCAACACATACTACAGCCCGGCTCATACCGTAGCAATCCCCAGTTGACAAACGAAGCCCGCTGGGCGAGTTTAAGTCACTGGAGGGATGAAACTTCTTGAGGCGAGCCACGTGCACCAACTGCGTTCGATTTGACCGACGAGAAGGTGTCGTCAAGCGCGCTACGACGTACGTCAAGTTAGTCAAGCGATCTACAATGACGTAAGGGCCTGTGTACTACGGTAAAAACTTCTGACATAAACCAGGTTTTCGTTGGGGGTTCCACAACCACACGAATTCACCTTTGCGGAATGAAATGGCATCATGGCATTGATCGTACCGTTGCTTGGAGCGATCTTGTGATGCCAGTGTGCGCAAGCGAGCAATTTGGCGAGCTTCTTCAGCCCGGCACAATGTTTCGGCCACGGACTCATCGGTATGGAGCTTAAATGGGAGGATTGTATCAAGGGAGCTGCGTGGTGATCGAGCGTATACGCTCGATCACCACGCGGTCATGGACTACCTGCTCTATAGAGCAGGTAGTCCATGGTCTCGTGCTTCGCTGTAGTGTATGCGTAAGTAATAAATGGTAAGATCTCATCCCAGTTTTTGTGATTGGATGCGACGTACATAACGAGCATGTTAGTAAGAGTTCGATTGGTACGTTCTACAAGACCATTTGTTTGGGGATGGTATGGTGTCGAATGTCTGAACTGTGAAGTGCAGAGGCGAAGCAATTCTTCCACAGCGTCCACGATGAATTGGCGACCACGGTCACTGATGATTACTTGAGGTGGACTATGGCGAGAAACAACGGAGCGTAAGAAAAAGGCAGCGACGCCATCAGCTGTAGAAGATGGTATCGCAGCGGTTTCGACGTATCTGGCAAGGTGGTCGAAGCACACTATTATCCAGAGGTTGTTGTTCGAAGATCGCGGAAACGGGCCCAATAGGTCGATGCCCACTTGCTCGAAAGGCGTAGTAGGCGGTTTTACAGGGTGAAGAAGGCCGTGCGGTGCACTGGTGGGTCGTTTGTGACACGGGCAGTTCTCGCAGCTCGAGACGTATTGTTTCGTAAAATCTCGCATTCGAGGCCAGTAAAAACGTTGCTGCACTCGATGCAGGGTGCGCATGAACCCAAGGTGTCCTGACGTTGGATCATCGTGCATAGTACGGAGAACGTCGCATCGAAGACTTTGAGGTACAACCAGTAAATAACATGCGCCGGTTGCTGAGTAATTCGTTTTGCACAACAGTCCATCACGAATACGAAAGCGACCACTGCGTTTGAGATTCCGAGCGTCAACAAACAAAGGGTCTAAAGATAAATCATTCAATTGTTCTCGTTTGAAGATATTGGCGTCAGGAAACGTGTGAGAGACCGCAGCAAAACAGATGTTGAGAGTATCTGCACTGTCCTCCGTCGTGGTCATAGGTAGGCGAGAAAGGCAATCAGCGTCCTAATGACGTCGTCCACTTCTGTACGAAATGCTGAAGTCAAATTCTTGAAGGCGTAAAGCCCATCGAGCAAGGCGGCCAGAAGGGTCTCGGAGGGTAACAAGCCAACATAATGAATGATGGTCTGTCACAATCGTGAATGGACGACCGTACAGGTAACATCGAAACTTCTGAATAGCGAATACAGCCGCTAAACGTTCTTGCTCTGTCACCGTATAATTCATTTCAGCCTTGCTTAGAGATCGACTCGTATAAGCAACAACATGCTCTGCTTTATCATGGCACTGAACAAGCACACCTCCGATGCCAATTTCACTTGCATCACTGTGCACTTCTGTAGGAGCAGAAGGATCGAAATGACAAAGAATAGGCTCAGATATCAGTAGAAGTTTCAGTTCAGAAAATGCGGCATCACTATCAGGTGTCCATTCGAATGGGCTGTCCTTTCGCAAAAAGCTCGTCAGTGGGTGTACTACGTCCACGAATCGGGGCACAAAGCGGCGAAAGCAGGAATATAGGCCCAAGAACCTGCGAAGTTTCTTCAGTGTCTGGGGTGGTTTGAATGTGCCGACTGCTTCGATTTTGCGGGGATCCGGCCTGACGCCATCTTTGTCAACTAGGTGACCGAGGAATAAAGCTTGTCGTTCACCAAACCGGCACTTCTTAGAGTTCAAAATCAAGCCAGCCTTTCCGACACAGTCTGAAACAAGGCTTAAACGGACGTTGTGCTCTTCGAAGGTACGCCCAAAAATGACGACGTCATCCAGGTAGCATAAGCACACCTCCCATTTAAGACCACGAAGGACAGAGTCCATAAACCTTTCAAAAGTGGCGGGGGCGTTGCAAAGCCCAACCGGCATCACATTGAATTGGTACAGTCCATCAGGCGTCACGAATGCGGTCTTCTCCTTGTCTGAAGGGCGCATAGGTATCTCCCAATATCCTGATTGTAGGTCTATTGAAGAAAAGTACGAAGCTGAGTGTAAGCAGTCAATAACATCGTCAATCCTAGGCAGCGGATATACATCTTTTTCGGTAACGGCGTTGAGTCTTCTGTAATCAACGCAGAACCGCCAGGCACCATCTTTCTTCTTAACGAAGATGACCGGTGCTGCCCACGGGCTACACGACTCTTCAATGACACCCTTATTCAGCATTTCCTGAACCTGGTCGGCAATAAGTTTTCGTTCTGATGATGGCACTCGGTAAAGCTTTTGTCGGATCGGATGGGCAGTGCTGGTGTCAATCCTATGGTGAGCGCGAGAACATGGTAAAGGTAGTGGCTTCTCCTCTTGGCAGAAGTCAAACACAGAAGCGCGTCGCCTCAACAGATGGCGTAACGTCTGCTGCTCGTGTGACCGCAAAGTGGCGCTAATTATGCCTAAGATCTGCGACTCCTAAGAGCAACTGCGCTTGCCAGAGACTGTACCTTTCTCGCTTTCATCGTTGTTATTGACCGCTACAGAACCTTCAGTGGAATCATCGAAGACGCCAAGCTTCATTCCTCGAGGGAGCACAACCGGCATTGGCGAACAGTTCAGTGCCCACAGAAAGGTTGCTCCTTCATGAACAGATACCAAACAACGAGGCACGAGTATGCCTTTCTTAGCACATTGAACGATGGCAGGTTCAACGATGGCGTCAAAATATGTGGCAGATTCCGGGGCGAACACCGCAACTGACCTCATTGACCATGGCGGCACTGTCAGCTCATCAGAAACAATCAGAGCGTCCTTCGCGGCCTGCGGCACCTCATCGACGAGGGCAGGAACAATGTCAGCGCTGACGGAAAGTTCACCGCTTCCACTGTCGACGAAAGCGCCACATCCTTGGAGAAAGTGAAGACCGAGGATCACATCGTGGGTACAACGTTGCAGCACAAGAAACTCTGTTGGGAACACCTTTCCTGCCAATAAGACATTGACGGCACAAACTCTGACAGGATGAAGTACTTCCCCACCAACACCACGAAACCTTGTTGATTCGCCCCAAGAAAACATAACTTTGCGGCCAATGCGACTTTTGAAAGAAAGACTCATAACTCATATCGCAGCACCAGTGTCACTTGCACAAAAGCCATCTATTTACAGACGTATCTTGTTCTTGGAGATTATAACTGGCGGAGGCATCTGAGGCAAATCCTGTTGTGCGACATCACCTCAATTGGTCGCGCTGGCTAGTTTCCTGGCGGCGGCGATGATGACAGGCGTCGTCCGGGCGAAGGGGAACGATGCAGTCGGCCAGATGGAGGCGTTAAACTACGGTCAGAAGCGGCAGAACTGCCACGGTGATTTCCCCGCCGTGAAGTACTCCTGGAATAGGCGGGCCAATGACCGTTGTTGTGACCAGTGCCCGCTGGCGGAAACTCTGATTGGAAATGATATCGGGATGTCGGCTCTGTCGACAACAGAACCGAACTATATGCCCGGCGATACCGCAACGGTAGCACACAGAGGCTTGACGGTATGCATTGTACTCCTGGAAGGCGATGTGCTGACGTGGTGGTGTTACAGGTAACTTCTTCGTTCGGGTCGTAATAGGTGTTGGCTGGCTGATGGGGGTAACTGAAGCGGTCTTCGTACGTCGGCAGCAGGTAGTTGTTGCGCTGTGACCTCGGTGGTGAGGGGGGCCTGTAGTTGCAGTCACCGATGCCTGCTGCGGCAATTGACACGGGAGGGCGAGAGGGGGCCGGTGCGGGTGTAGCTTCGTACGGCGTCGGGCGAGCGTGTCGAGTGAGCTCTTCTCGAACGATCTGGCGTATTGTCGACGCGAGATCAAGCGGCATGTATTCTCCGACACTTGCCATGGTGGTTATATTCCGTAGGCGACCGAACTTGGGGGTGATACGTCGCATCTTCAGGGTCTCGAATGTGCGACAGTGGCTTATGACGTCGGTTACCGTACCAAGGCTGTCTTTGCTGATGAGGAACTGATACACGTCCTCGGCAATGCCCTTTAACAGGTGGCCAACTTTGTCTTCCTCTGATGTAGAAGGGTTGACAATCTTGCAGAGCTTCAAGATTGCCTCGACATAGGTTGTGCACGTCTCTCCTGGGATCTGAGCTCTCTGCAGTAACGTTTGTTCCGCCTGCTTTCTCTTAGCTACGGAGTCACCGAAGCACGCTCTTATTTCGGAAACGAAGCGATTCCATGACGTGAGAGCATCTTCGTGGTTCTCGTACCACACGAGTGCTGTGTCCTTTAACAAAAATACTACATTGGTCAGCTGAGTCGCCACGTCCCACTGGTAGTATTTGCTCACCCGTTAGTAGTGAGTGAGCCAGGTGTTCACGTCCTCACCAGATTTGCCACCGAATGTGCGAGGCACTATCAGAACCCGGCGCAACTAGGGACCAGCCGCAGGCGAACCTGGCTCTAGCGGTGCTGCTGGGACTGGTAGAAGGTCTGCAGCTGTGGGGATCCGGTTTCCTTCTTCGCCGTGAGACATCTCAGCTGCCAGTGGTAACGGGGGCAGTCCAGCAAGGCGGCGGCTTCATCGTAGATCAGGCGCTTGAAGCGTCGTGTTGCTCGGTTGATTACCCAGCGCCTCCACCAGAAAACTGTTACGGTTGAATTAAAGAATAGGTGAATTTCTTTACAGGGTGAGGATGAAGTTCGGCGGTCGCGGTAAAGATGAAGTCTTCAGGCCGCACCAGACAACGTCGCCTTTCTCTTCTGCCCACCCGGCACATACTACAGCCCGGCTCATACCGTAGCAATAAGCATATAGCCTTGTTTCTTCCCGAAGCTGCCGTAGAATACCTGCTTGCCACGCAAACGGCCCGACATCAGTATTTATTTTATTTGCATATTTCTCAATTTTTTCGGTCATGCACACGATAATTACTTTTCGCTGGCAACCAACGATGCTGACACCGACGTCCGAATCTCGGCGCAACAAGCTAGTCAACGCTGTCGCATTTTAATTTTGAAAAATTTGTCTTTTTTCCCCTGTTCTATACCATCAAGCCACGTGCCAACAAATGATCATTTTTTTAGGTTGCGCGCGCTTGCATATGCAGAAAAGCTAGAGTGATTGCCCGAGTAAGAATGAAACATTTCAGAGAACCAGTAAGTAGGAACACTAGTCGTAGAAGAAAAGTCACAGACTGCGAAATCCATCCAGCTTCAAGAAACAATATCTGCTCGAATGAAAACAATCGCTTCAGCTTCATTTTCTCGCGGGTCTCTGTTCTTGGCAAGTTCACACGCATTACAAACGGGCTCGCTAGCGTCAGCATCGATGGCGTGAACAGCATGCTAGCCGTATGCGTTTGCCCTAATGCGCGAAAATGACACAGTCGGATCTTAGCCGATATACACACTTCAATCGAATCTGCAAGTTATATTGTATTGCTGTTCAGTTCTATACGCCGAGTAATTTTTTAACGACCGAATTCTCGGCCAACCTTCCACAGTGCGTCACATCGAACATATATCGGCGAACAAGTACTTCGTCTCTCCGTCTTAGTAAACACGTCGCGCTGAAGTGGACTGCTAGCAGGTGGAGGCTGACACTTCAAGAACGCTTCAAAAAATTGGGTAAGAGCGCCAGGACACAAGTTCAAAGTGGCCAGAAAGTAGCCGTGTTACCAATTTGAAATTTTTGCTGCCATAAAATGTCGCAAAGTAGCCAATTTGGCGCAATGTAGCCACCAATGAGTGCGTCGTTGTTGAGTTTCTAGAATGACAGAATGGCGCTCCTTAACTTTTCGTGGCTTTCGGACATCAGCAATTAATTATGAAGATAGTGTGGACGTAAGCATGACTTGCGAATAAAATTCTAAGAACCATCGCATTATCGGTGCCGACGTGAGATGCAATAGAACAAGCATTTACTTAAAAGGAAATATTCTGACGTGCTTGTATGTGGTGGTTTTTCCTGCTCAATTATTTAACAAGTTATTTTAATAATAATTTAAATGTTAACCCAAGGGCTTCTTCTGCTGCCCACCGTTTGCGTCTCATGCGTTACCTGGGCCTCTATAAATACGTTTCCTGCTTTAAGCCTGTAGTTTCGGCCATCTGCGAACGTGGAATTATCTCATATTACGCCACCTTTATTTAAAAGCCTGGAAATATTTAACAAGCAGCATGTACGGCGCCAACCAAAAAGGAGATTGGTCCTTTTGATATGTGCATTAAGGTGTGTCGAAGCGCATTCGTCCTCAAATGAAATGATGCGTAATTCAGTTTATGTAACTAATTAGGCTCAATACAAAAGTGTCATAACGACAGGCACGTGACGTTAAAGCCACGCCTAGCTTGCATTCAGTGGCGGTTCACCTTTTTTTGTTGTTGTTTTTATATTTTTTTATATTTACGTCAAACGCCCTGTATACTTATTCTTTTTGGTCATTCAATGCGAAAGGGCCTTGGCCTTGACTATTTCACTTAGATATATATGTTTTTATTTTTAGTTCACCATAAAGTATTTGTATTGTTACAAATCTGCTGGCAGAGCTATCAGTGATAATCGCCTACGCTTTGTGTCAATGTTAGAGGAAAATGTGCGCAAAAAAGCAGTTGAGGCATGCTGCTCTCGTGGAAGTTCAGTACCCAGGATGTATCTTGTTTTTAGACAAGTCTGGTTTTGAGACAATGTAAAAGGCTTCGCTTCGCCCCGCTGCGGTGGTCTTGTGGCTAAGGTACTCGGCTGCTGACCCGCAGGTCGCGGGTTCAAATCCCGGCTGCGGCGGCTGCATTTCCGATGGAGGCAGAAATGTTGTAGGCCCGTGTGCTCAGATTTGGGTGCACGTTAAAGAACCCCAGGTGGTCGAAATTTCTGGAGCCATCCACTACAGCGTCTCTCATAATCATATGGTGGTTTTGAAACGTAAAACCCCACATATCGATCAAGGCTTCGCTTCCTTGTTATGCAGTGTTCTCCAGATACTGTAATCAGCCAGCATTGATAAAATATTTACTTTGATATTCAAGTTTTTTGTCGCTGAGCGTCAACAAGCCATTCTTGCCACAATTATCTGACGAGTCAGCCCAGTTTGCCAAATCTGAGTCCTTCAGGCAGCCTATATCACACAAATCGGGGTCGCTGAAAACAATGAACTTATTGTTTACGTGGACCACGAGCAGACCGCAGATCTGTCGCAAGTAAGTACATCGCGAATCGCTGACTCCCATGACGTCATACTGCGATGACACGTCACGGCGAAGCCACCCCGTCTATATTGAAAACGACAGAATTTTTTTTCAGGTAGTGGTATTATAAATATATGTGATGCATTTACAGGAGCCATAGTACTCATTTCTCAATATATTTAGAATGCGTGCCAGTGCTCCTCTAAGACTCGAAAACCCGACCAAGAACGCTCGTCGAAAGTACCGACCGTGAGAGTTGTGGCAAGTGCCGTCCTTGAGGCGGTACACGACCCCCGCAGGGACGTCGTTGCTCAGGTCCGACGTGGTCAGTACCAAGGGTTCACCTGCACTCGACGAAAGAAAGCAAAAAGGCGTCTCACGGAAGCGTCCAACCATTGTTATTTCCCTCTACGCACCGTCAGCGTCCGTCGCTATAGTGAGCACGTGAAAAGGGCCACTCTGCTGGTCATTGCACGTCTGAAGACAAAGGTCCTCAGATATCCACGTGTTCTGATCCGCCACTGGTCGAAGTGCATGCAGTGACCTGCGACCAAAGTCTTCTAGTATATAGAGCCACAAGGTAGAGCTCACTCATTTCTAAAGGTGCGCTAAAATGGACGCAGACATCGCATAGACACGAAAAAAAATATACAGGACAAACGATGCCAGGCACCTTTTGTGTTTCTTTTGTACTACGCAATGTCTGTGTTCACATAAAAGACTACAAAGGCACGCTCATAGGCTGACAGTAAAATATACAACTATTTTCTCGCAGTTCAACACAATGCTTTGAAATCAGAGCCTTCCTTCCAACACTCTAAGGCAAAAGGGTGTGTGGTGCGTCCTTTTTGGGACTAATGGGGCCGCCACCACCATTAATCCCTATAAGGACTAAGGGCACCGGGTCTAACAGTTAGTCCCCTCAAGCTCAAGGGACTAACATTTCGTCCTCACATCTACATCTTAGTAACCGTTAGTCCCACAGTTCACCTCAAAGAACTAACATTTAGTCCTCACATTTGCACCTTATAGAGCAACTGTTAATCCCCACATTTACACCTTACCGGGCAACCGTTAGTCCTCACAGTTGCACCTTGCCGGACAAACGGTTTATCCACTCAAATACTCCAATCAGATGAACTTTTTGTCCCCAGTTCAAACATTGTTTTTTGTTTATTTTCCGCCAGGCTTAATACTTTTCCGCCTGTTTTTCTGCGCAGTGAGCGACCAATTCCGCAGAAAAAAACACGCGAAAAAGTAGTTAGCCACCTATGTGTAACTGCTTTCAAAGTCACGGCAACAACGAAAGACAAAAGTGAGACATTGAAATCTTTTATTTTCTACATACACATGAAGTTTCCCTATTCTTTTAAGTGAATTCATGTTGAAGTGTACAAGTCAAGTCTCGTTGTCAAATCTTGTTCACTCTTTAGGGAGCTCCTCCGACGGCAGCGATAGATGACAGGCATTGTAGACGCCTGTGCACGCAGCCTTCTGCCTGTTGTGTTCCCACGGCGGCACGTACAATAATCTAGTAAAAATAGTTAGGCACACGTCACAGAAGATGAAGATGCACGCATATGACAAGTACGTGCACGTTAATATAAATACAAGCGTTAGAATATGACACAAAAATAACTTTACCTTCACATCTCGCACAGTCCTTCTGAAGCTGCTCTGACGAAAAAGATGTATGACAGGCATCGCAGACGCCAGCGCACAGTCTTCAGCACGCTGTGTGCCCACGGCTGCACAATAAGTATGTAAAATAGTGAGTCACACGTCACAGAGGTTGAATACAAATGCATATGAGAAATACGTGCAAGGTGAAATGAAAACATACGTGAGATATGACATGCTCATAATTTCACCGTCATGTCACACATCGTCAAAGACTCATTTCGATCCCCGTAGCGCAACAGCTTAGGAGCGGCGGCCGCAGTCACATTTCCGCGAACCCCCGTGCCGCTATCAAGTCGGCGAGTCCTAAGCGAGTGACGTCGTTCAGCTCGAGCAAGCGAACGCGAGACCAAACATGGCACTGCACGCGGAGTGTCTACCGCCAGCGAACTTCGAACAGGAGAGCGAGCGTAGGCTTGGCCTCCGCCACGAACAGCACCGAGCTGGTTTGGAGCTAGCGCCGAAGAAATCGACGGTAATGTGGTCCTTTTAAACACACTCGAGCGAGGTCAGCGCGCAAACGCGAGTCCGCCGCCGTGGCCAATGGACTGCGCCGAGCTGCTTGCGACTGACTGACGGGGAAGCCAATTGTAATGGCGACCAATTTTCAGAGTTCCGACGCTAGTGAAAGCCCCGCAAGCCCATGCTGGTGCACTTACCGCGCGCGACACACTACAGCCAAGCTCTTTACGAGAACCCGCAACGTGTTTTCGACGACTCCCAACACAGCGACGAGGTCTCAGCCCAATATCGTCAGCCCGGAGCTCATCGCAGCGGCGAAGAAAGGCGAGCACTCGATTAGCGAGCGTACGGGAGGCCGACGGCAATGGCGGCCAATTTCCAGGCCGTTGCAAAGCACAGGCGAACTGTAGACACCCAATGTGACCTTCGCGGCGCATTTCGTGCGTGCGATATACAACACGACCGAGCCCATTGCCGGCAAGGCTGATCCGTATCGCACACAAGACAAATAGAGTAGAATAAATAATGATAAGCAACTTGCGAAATAATGGAGCGCTGATTTCTGCCCTTAGTCGGACTGAAGTATATATCCCATAGGTCTGCCGTCTTCTCTGCCGCCATGTTAGCCTTCCAAACTGTCGCTGTCGTGTGTTGGTCGTGACTATCTTGAAGCCAGAGATAATACAGCGCGGCGTGGGGACGTGTCGAGACTTACTCCAGAGTTCATAAGTGCAGCGAAACGCTAAAACAGCAGCCCACGCGCATCCAGGTGTACACACAAGCACCACGTCGCAATTGTTAGATCGTTGAATCCAGGCGGCCCTGGTCAGCACTCCGAGCGCGACGCTACGCGACCGCAACCGGCAAAATACCGGGAAATACTGAGCCGGCAGAGGAGGAGAAAGACATGTGTTCTGTGGAGAAGGAGGGGTGGTCACCTTGGCAACGCTTTTCTCGCTACCTGCAATGCCCGGGCGGTTCATCTCAGTGGAGACTAAACGGTTTCGGGCCGCACGCTTCCCTCTGTGGTTGCTCCTCAACGGTCTATCCGTTCATCACGCGCGCCTATTGGGATCCGTTACTCCTTTTTCGGGTAATTTTGCCTTCGAGTGAATGTGATTCTCGGAACCTATGACCCTTTCAAAGAAGACGAAAGACTGACCACCATAAAACACTCTAAAACAAGAACAAGACACTCTGGCTCACACACTGGAGCCTTGTTCAGAATGAAGCTCAAAAGTGTGACAAGCTAAGTACCATTTCAGTAGGTGTCGCAAGCATCACGCATAGGGAAATGCAACATGAGCGAGTTGGTACGGATTTGTCTTGATTTTAACAGCGCACTGAAGAACGACGACTAGAAGAAAAGTAAGAGGACAGCACGGGCGCTGTGCTGTTAAAATAATGTCGCGCTGTTAAAATAAAGATGTATCACGTCTACACGTGGAGCAAGTGTCCATCGTTGCGGTTGAGGGTGGCCTGTATTATGAGGGATTCAAAATAAAGACACCAAGACGAATTTTTCTCTTTTAGGATCGAAGCTCCTTAGGCCATGGGTCGTTCCTTCCTCTGAAGTCGTAGTGGTAGTATATAGCCACCTCTAGGTCATGGCTTGCTCAATAAATGACGTTGTGTGTATATGTCCTTGGTAATAATATTTTCACTTCATATCCACGGAGGGACTGATGATGAGTGGGGCGAAGCGTTCGTCCATTCATCCGTCCATCCGTACGTCCAACCGTCCGTGCGTCCATGCTTCTGTCCGTCCGTGCGTCCGTCTGTCTGTCCGTTCATGCTTCCTTTCGTGCTTCCATCTGTTCGTCCGTGCTTCTGTCCGTCTGTCTATTCATGCTTCAGTCTGTCCGCTCATCCACGTTTTCATCCGTCCGTGCATTCCCCCGTCAGTCTGCCCATGCTTCCGTCTATCCATGTGTCCATCCCCCCGTGCTTCCATCCGTCCGTCATGATACACGCATGGACGGACGCTTCACCTTACTCATCATCAATCACTCCGTGGATATTGTCCCAGGGTCGTGACGTGGACGTAAGGAGCATACTTGATGTTGAGATGAAATTGTTTATTCAGCCGAACTTTTGGCCAGGAAACTGACGGTCAGATTACAGCAACACACGGGCACTGTTAGCGGCGAACAGAGCATCAGCCGTGGATCAACTGAGAAGCGGTGAAGTGCGTTGGCATTTATACACGTGCCATTCAACATTCTAGCGTTATCGCTAGCGGCCACGTCGGTTCCAGAATATTCTGTCATGTTGGCGAAGTGGACGTAATCCTGAAAAAACGACCTACTACAGTCCTGAAGCTTCTCTAACACTGCAGGTGCGGTTTGCGCTGAGAATGAATGACAGAGTAACGGGATGAAAACCAAATTTGAAGAAGGAACGTGGCAATATGCTGTGTTTTCTTTTTTTAATGGTGCTGGCGCTGTCCCAATTGATTACGTGGCTAGTCGTTTGTGTGTTGTTATGCCAGCGAGTCCTCGTCAAACGTCCGTGCCTCTGAAAAAGGCAATCTGGGTCAAGGCCAGCCCGCCGTCTGCCTGACGCGAACATCTCAACGGCGTGAACACGCGCGGCGCCTCTCTCGCCCACGTGCATTGAGTCAGCGGCGCACGTGACAGCGAGCCGGCGTTCTCGTGTCTGGTGGTCTGACGCATGGCGCGGCAACCCCATTGGAAGAATCTGCGCTGACGACCAGCGGCGCTTCTGATTGGACATTTTGGTTGGACCCGGTGTAAATAAAAGAAGCCCTGCGGCGCGTCGCGATCGGCAGTCCTACGAGAGAGGTGTCCCCATGTCGGAGGGCCGACATGTGTGTGAGTCAGCGGTCTTAGGCGAAAGGCTGACCTATGTGTTAGAGAGGAGAGCGCGGCTCTTCGAGTCTCTGTCGGCCCCAGTGCCGAAATTGTAACGCCTCTGTAAATATGCTGTACATAAACCTTGTTTAACTCACCGTCGTCTCGTCCGCTCGTCTTATCAGCTCTGCGCAGAAGCAGTCGCGAGCTGATAAACATACGCTACCAAACGGCTGGTGACCTTCCCGGCGGAGTTGAAAGCAGTGGCGCCTCCGGGGCCGTGTTGGCGTCGCCGTCTTTCGCAACAGTGGTGGCTTCGGCGGGATCGGTCCGTCGTTCGCAACAGTGGAGGTCAGCGGTGGGATTTCGGAGGCCGTCGTTCGCAACAGTGGTGGCAGCGGTGGGATCGGTCCGGCCTTCGCAACAGTGGTTGGCAGCTGCGGGATCGGCCGGCGTCAGCGACATCGATGCGGTGAGTGCCTGATGTTTTCCCCTCAGTTCACCAGACTACTCTAGCTCAGGTTGTAGTAGTTTAGAGAAGGGCTGTGTGAAGCATTGAAGTGAGCTTTGATCGTTTCAAGCCAAGTCG